TCATTGGGAAGGAAAGAGCATTGAATCTTGCAAGGATGGATGGACCTATGACAGAAGTGTCTTTTCATCTACAATTGTTACTGAGGTATGAAACCTGTATTGTAGCCAGAACATTACTCATAAGTAGCTTACAGTTAAAATATGCATCTTGAAGAGCTGAATTTTAAGAGGTCTAACAGGAGGAAACTTAGGGCAGACCTTAACCATAGCAGGGGGAGTGTGAACTAACTTGTTCAGCTTGCTTGTGGTGCAACCCTTGCAGTAGAAAGCATTCTGTAAACGTTTATGATGATGACCACAAATTTATAGTCACTTTCTATATTGTGGTATGGTAGATGTTAGCAATAACAGTCAAAGGATGCTGGTACACATTTTCATTGTAGCCCAGAAAAATATAGCCAATAGCTGTGACTAACACATTCTTATGTGACCCTGATTCAGGGTATAGAGGAAGAGTAAAGGTCACAAGCCAATGGTCCAATTTATTTTATTCTATACATTATAACTAAGTGTGACTAACTGGAATAAATGTGAGGATTTGTTAAATCTGAAAGGAATATGATTTCAGAAGGAAAAGCTTTTATTGCCGCAAATGAGATAGTAAATGAAGTAAGATCACTCGCATAGGATAGGTAAAAAATATGAAGAAGTCAATCATGTAGGGTCGGTAACAAGGTGGAAGTAAACTGTAGAAATGTTATTTGAATGCAGAGTATAAAACCTTCCAGAAGACACTATTGTTGCTTGTCTTCTGGAAGTTTGTATACTCTTCATTCAAATAAAATTTCTACAGTTTACTCCCACCTTGTTGCAGACCCTACATATTTGACAATGATTTGAGTGGATGGAGACTGCGGGCATCACACGGTGAGATTTATAATCCTCCTGGAATATGTTATGAGGGTTGCAGCACTTGTCTTTTACATGTGTGATTTGATAAATAATATGAAGAGATTAGAGCAATAGAAGTGGTGTGATACGCACAGATATACAGTATGTTGGAGAAAGCCATAATCATTATGGCAGGAAATAATAGAAAATAAATCAACAGATATAATTAAAACTGAACTGCAGTTATCCATTTTTGAATTTTGGAGTAGTCAGAAAAATTGATGTCTGGTTGCTATGGGTTTTTGAGTTTTATGCATCGCTTTTCGTCTTAATAAATCGGTTAATATATTGACAAAGCACTAAGTGCAAAGAACTGTTATCAAAAGCAACCATTTAGAAATAGTCTCTGGGGCAGTCACATTTGTCTGGCTATTGTGGTGCATTAAGACATGATAGGGTGAACTATGTTGTGTGTTAATGTTTCTTGCATTAAGGCAGAGAGAGAGATTGTAAAACTTTGCATAGTAATTATTTAGTTCTTATTAAAATTACGTGTATGATACTACTACTATATGACTGTATACCATTGTCATGCAGTTAGTAAAACAACCGTACATTCTGTAGTGCCAAAGAGTTTGCTTTATACAATTGCTGGTACACACATTTCTGTTTTGTAGGCAAAAGATTTTGAGAAACAAATGTTAATTTTCAGTTATCACATTTTACTTTACATAGTGGATGTTTTCTGCTAATAGGTAAACATTCTCTAAAATACTTTCAATTTCTTACAGTGGAATCTGGTTTGTAACCATAGCTCACTGAAACAGATAGCACGTTCCATCTACATGACAGGCGTGCTTCTAGGAGCTCTAGTCTTTGGCAGCCTTGCTGACAAGTAAGTAATATCACATGCTAACAAGTATAACACAGCATGCTCATGTAGACTGTCTGGTTGTAGCACCACAAGTCATCTTGTTCTATAACAAAGCACAATAGTGTTCAAGCAATTACTTGAGTTTGCTATACCCCAATATTAACACAAATGTAAAATATAAAACACTGGTTGTGATATAATTTTCATATCCGCCTTTGAACCCTATGACGAATAGCTTGAACAATGGTTCAGTGGAGAAGAGCAATCAAAGTTAAATTTAAATAATGCTCAGAATGAAATTGATCCTTGACTTGGCTGTTTTTTTAGCTGCCATGTCTCCATACTAACTAGACCAGTGGTCTCCAAAATGAGGCCCTTGCTTGCTCTTTTCCGGTCCTTGGGCCACTTTTTGCCCCACTGTCAGCAAAAATGGAGCATAGTTCCTGCCCTTGACACCTACAGTGGGGCATTATTTCTCTTACTGACATGAAGGATGGGGCATTATTCCTCTCACTGACACCAACAATGGGGCACTATTACTCCCCCCAATACGGAAAAGAGGACACTATTTATTCCCACTGACACCAAGACATTTTCTACTCCCGCTGACCACAGTCCAACCCTCATTATTATTTATTATTATTATTATACAGTATTTATATAGCGCCAACAGTTCGCTCAGTGCTGTACTTTACAATGGGAGACAATACAAGAGACACTACAATGACAATACAATGTGATACATGAGGGGTTCAAGGGCCCTGCTCCTTGGAGCTTACAATCTAGGAGGGAGGGGATAGTGGTACAGGAGGAAAAGCTGTGGTGGATGGAGTGGTAGGAAGAGTGGAGGAGATCAGCAATTAGCAGAGGGCGGGATAGGCTTCCCTGAAGAGGTGGGTTTTCAGGGTGCACCTAAAGGAGAGGAGAGTAGGTGATAGTCTGATGGATTGGGGTAAGGAGTTCCAGAGGATGGGTGATGCCCTGGAGAAGTCCTGGAGGCGGGCATGGGATGAGGAGACCAGGGAACTAGAGAGAAGGAGGTCTTGTGAGGAGCGGAGAGTGCGTTTTGGGTCATATTTGTTCTTGCTAAGATTGTGAGTTTCCTCCTTCTCAGTCAAAAGGTGATGGTAGTAGCTTAAACAGTTAATTGCTTAATTAATTAACCCAGTGACAATCGCTACTGGCACCTAGATTGTGGTCCCGCAAGCTGGAAAATCTTTCTGAACCATGCAGCTGAAAATGGCATTGTTACGGATGTGACAGTGCGGTGTGAGATTGGCCAGTCCTTTGTTACGAGTTGGTGATAAGGACGGGGTCTGACATTTGCGTTTGTCACACACACAACCTACCTTAAAGAAGAATCTCTGGAGTATATAATGTACAGTGGTCAGAATATGTCATATAATGCTTAGCATATAGAGTGGTCAGGAGCATGAAATATACAATATAGTGTATATATATAGTGTCTATGAAGCAGGACTCAGGGGTGTATAAACATACAGCATGTAGGGGTTTGGAGTGTAGGGGCCAAGAGTGTATAATGTGCAAAATTCAGGGTTCAGGAGTGTATAACATAGAGAGTGCAGAGCTCTGTAGTATGTAATACAAAACGTGCAAGGCACAGGAAGGCATAACACAAAAAGTGAAGGGCTCAGGAGTATGTAACAAACAAAGTTCAGAGCTCAGGAGCATGTAACACACAGAGTGTAGGGGTCAGGAGTGTGTAACGCATAAGCCAGTGTACAAAGTACAACAAAAATAACCCCCTCCTCCCAGTACAATTCCACCCACCCCCTCCCATATCCCTCATAGTACAGTTCTCCACCAACAGCCTCAGTTTCCCCCATACGAATTTCACTACACAGTTCTAACCTTCCCCCGCCCCAGGACAGGCCCCCTCCTCCCAGCCCCCCCACCTTCCATGTAATAACATGTAGCATCCCAGAGCATTGTGACATCACCAATAAGCATTGGCATATGCATTGCATTGAGTGCACTATGACTTCATCAGGGAAAGTCATTGAAGATTTAAGGAAGCTGTGAAATAAGTGATTATTGGTTACTGATAACTCAAATTACAGATACTGATAACTCTTGGGGGCAGGGCAGAGCTCTCTATATATTTCATATTATATTCCTCTGTATCCTAGGGTAGGCCGAATGGAGATCCTGACCTGGTCTTACCTACAGATGGGTATAGCTGGCACTTGTGCTGCAGTTCTGCCAACCTTCGATGCCTACTGTGCATTCCGTTTCCTGTGTGGTGTGGCTTCTTCTGCTATCTCTGTCAATAGCATCTCTTTAAGTACGTGCATTCACTTATCACACATATTTTTTTCTGAACCATTACACATAAGGTAGTTTGATATGGTTTACAAAAATCGGGTAAATAAAAATAACCAGCAGGCTTGGATGTCTTTCAGCATACATGAATTCGCCAGTTGCTCAATCTGCTTCAATAAAAAGTAATTTTCAAGAATAGAGAGAAAAAAAATCTAAGTTTTATTAAATCTGAATCCAAGCACTAAATACACAGTTGAAGTACATTATACTGTATGTTAACTGTCTTTCCTGCAAAAAAATGTGTCTTTCTGTCCAATCCATCTTGTGATACAGGTAGCTCTGCCAGACAGAGCAGTCAAGTCCTGCACATCCTTAGATATCACTTGTTAGTATCCTGCAGTTGGCCGGACAGGTCAAGTAGCCTGTGATTGAACAATGAATCAGCAGCAACACATGGTTGAGATCATTACTTTACTCCAAACGTTTACTGTTGAGGGACAGGGCTGTGCAATGCAGTTGAGTCTGATTGGCTTTCAGAGCTGTCCCTCCTAATCCTAGTATAATTGCTGCTTTACAGAGGATTAAAGGAGGCCAATATCAGGACAGGTCTACGTAGTTTTGCCAGCTGAATGCAAAAATGCTTTGAATGCTTTTTTTTATAATTCTTTGCCATAATTCCCAGCTTGGTTGCTGTTCACATAGGAGTTTTAAGTGTTTTGGTCATCTTTTGCATTCTTCATCACCCCTTTTTTATGTCCTTTATATGGGACCCCCTCAGAATGGCCCAGCATGTGTACAAAACCAGGACAGCAAATCTCACCAGAGATTGATAAGAAACTGTCACTCTAAGTCGGCCAGTCGGCCCTGTAAATGTTAGCTTTCTATACATCCCTGGAACTTTAGTTTGAAAAAAACCTGCTCAAATAAATTGTGGAATGTGGATTAAGTCCTCCAGTGTTCTAGGACTGTGTGTAGTCTAACTCATCTCATTATTCCCCAAGTACTAGAATGGATGCCCAATCATGGCCGCACACTGGCTGGAAACTTCTTTGGTTTCTCATACTCATTTGGCCAATTGGTTCTGTCTGCTATGGCATACAAGATCAGAGACTGGCGATGGCTTCAGTTTGCTGTCTCAGCTCCATTTTGTATCTTCTTCATCTATTCTTGGTAAGATCTCACTTATTATGTTTACTGGATTGAAAATTTGTCAGATAATGTTCACAGTAAATTAAAATATTATACTACTCCTCTGCAATCTCTGTATTTTTCATATAGGTGGTTACCAGAATCTGCGCGATGGCTAATTCTCCGGGATGAGCCGGAAAAAGCTCTGAACCACCTTCGAAAAGCTGCCTTTGTTAATGGAAAACACAAGGAAGGAGAAAAATTGACTGCACAGGTAAGCGAAGTTGGTACTTTAGTTAAAAGGAAAATCTGGATGGTAGACACTTACGGAACCAAATCCTGACCAAGGACATGAATGGATCAGCTAACATCAAGTTCCATTTATGTGCAGGCTCTAAGCTGTTTCTCCACAATAAGTAGCTGTAATAATAATCATCATCAGCATGCTAATGATAACAGTAATATAAACTGTATTGTCAGCTTCTGTCATTGTGAAAATAGGAAATCTTTATAATCTAGAAGTCAGTCCGCTTACCTAGGCATAATAATCTACCATCAAAGGGTAAATGTTGATCCACTTGTATGCTTTGACATTCTAGACATTATTTTCAGCCAATCTTCATAACCAATGCACTTGTTCTTCTGATAGATACTGTGCTCTGAGATGCAGAAAGACATCCTTATAATAAGGGCATCACACTCAGTGTTTGACCTTGTCCGTACTCCGACTATGAGGCGCATGTCCTTGAGTCTCATTATAGTTTGGTAAGTCTAAATAATATGCAGGTTTTTTACATGGGGTAAAATCAAAAGTGCAGTAACCTATAGAAACCAAGCATTAAATATTTTCATTGATCTGATTGATCTTGTACACCATTGCTATTGGCACTACGTTATTAAAAAAGAACAGGGAGGGCTAATTAGACAGTGTGCACAGGACACAGGACAACTTTAAATGTCTGATCAACATTCATTTTTTTGCACTTTTTGAACAGGTAAAACCAAACACTTACAATGGTGTACAGTATAAGCAGACCAAAAGAAAGCAAATAAGAGAAGTTTGTTGGTTTACATACCCACACTTTAATCTAGGGTACAGTATTTCCATATATTTGCTGGATAAAGTTAAGTTTAAATCTCCCAGGATCTTTACCCTAGGCTTGTGCTGAACATGGTTATAAACCTAAGACATGAAATATGAACAGAGCATATCCCTCTATAGTGTGTCAATTTAGAGCAGTAAGTGTCATTTCTTTCTGCTGCCTTCTTCTTCTGCTATCAGCATGAGTCTCTTCTGACAAATATTCCTGACACCAAGAGAAAAAAAAGGTGACGGGAGGGATCTCCAGCACACAGCCTGTGGTTAAGAGCCTCAGCTCTGTGCCAGTGTGCTGTGTTAAGGGAGGGAGTGTCCCTTCCCTCCAATCAGCTAGCTCTCAGCTCTCTTGCAAACTGTCTCCTGGGATGTGAGCCGCAACCATCCCAGGAGCCATTTGCAATATGCTGTGCAGAGAACTGGCAGAAACCTGCAACGTGTCTACACATGCATTAGGGGTCTCTGCCAGGGCCCATAGATCTAGCTGAGACTCACAGTGTGTCTATGTATGCACCGGATCCTCATTACCAATGGTGGCGCTGGAGAGGAGGGGCAAGGGGAGAACGTTTTCTTCAAGCAAGACAATAATAGACTCTGCGGTCTAGTGAATACAGGGACAGGTTTTTTTTTTATTTTTGGAGACGTTTGGCAGAGTGAAGTACCTTTTTAACATTCTGTTAAGATAAGAGTCTTTCAAAGTCTAGATGGCAGAAAGAGAGCAGATTTTGAATAAAACTCAATTAGATATTTGTCAGGGAAGGTTCCCTTGTTGAAAGCAATATCAAATATGAAATGCACTTAATGAATTAAATAGTACAAGGAACAAAGTGAAACATTACACACTCAGAATAATCGGTTTTGTACTAATATGACTGCAGTAAAGTACATTTTGATTGATTGCAATCAGAAACCATTTTGCACCTTGCACTGCTCTTTAAATACGCTTGGTAGATTTAGTCTCTGATTCTAGGCATAGGATAATCTGGAATTCGTATAGTGCACTCCTATCTGGTGTCTTTATACTCATAAGAACTAGGGGTATTGCAGTTTAAATGTAGCTTCTACTACAAATTGCTAATTGTGTTACATTGACTGCATGTAATACAGAAAATTAATATGTTAGGGTTACCTGTATGTAATACAAAGGAATATTTTAGAGTTACCTGTACCACATTCAAAATAGGGAAAGAGAAACTAATAAAATTGTTTTACTCCTACAGGTTTTCAAGTAATTTTGCCTACTATGGGCTGAGCATGGATCTGAAGGACTTTGGGCTTGGTGTTTTCGTAGCTCAGGCACTGTTTGGTGGTGTAGAAATGATTGCGAAGCTCATAGTGATGTTGGTGATGACCTTGGTGGGCAGACGAGTCATGCAATTTGCTTCCCTGATCATGGCTGGAGTAATGGTTGTATCTTACAGCTTCACGCCTCAAGGTGACCCATCTAAATTAAATACTATTTTTCAAAAGTAAAATCTTTGATGTAATATATAAAAAAAACAACTTTGTGATTTTGTCTTTTAAATAAAAAATGAAGGTAAATACAGCGAATGCATTGAATTTCATGGTAATTGAGCAGCAGTGTTGTATAATTGTTTATATCAAATAGCACTATTAGCATGAAACAAGGTGATAATCATCATCTGTAGTAAGCACTATACTCCTACATCCTAAACTATCATGTTTATCTGCTGTTGTCACCAAGGGCAGACTGATAACTCATGGGGCCCCCGGGCAATAGGGGATCATGGGGCCCCTGTGTCCTTGTCCAAACTCAAAAAAGCCTATGAAAAAAGGTACCAGGGGCATCTCATGGGGCCCCCTACTGACCCCGGGCCCTCAGGCAGTGCCCGAGTTTCCAAATGGTCAGTCCGCACCTGGTTGTCACAAGCTAACATTTACACAAAAACTGATTATACTGGAGATCAATAAAGTTGAGAATGTGGAATGGTAACCTGGTAGTTACTAGACTGCACAAAATGGCCAGAGACTGGACTGTATGGTGTGCTGGAGGGGAGAAAAATGTAATGTTATGGCAGAGTAGACCAGAATGCCCTGTATACACCACACCTAAAACAATTAGAACAAGTTATGCCAATAGGGCTTTGCTACATGAAATAAACTAGACACGTCTGTCTGAGAACCACTGCAGTTTTTGCTCCCTTTGTAGCAATATAAGCAAACCCTAATGCTGCCATGTAGATGTGATTGAATTAACACAACACAAGTTTATCTAAACATGCATAAGACAAACAGATCTCCCAGCAATCAGCTCCAAAAGCACACACTTCTCTAGTGACCACCGCCACACGTTCATGCACTTCTCCACTGACCATTAATAAACTGACATGCACTGACCAGTGTGACCACCACTGTGAAGGAGGGAGGGAGGGCACAGACATCAAATTATACACCATGTCTCAAAGAACAGCATCAGCATTTTTTGAACTGATCACAACAGCACTAACACATACAAGGTAGTATCAAAAAGTTTTGAGACTAGTTTTGCCAACAGATGGCAGCACAAGGCTGCATGCACAGTCCCAGGGAGCACTGACCTACATAAGTCAATGAGCCAAAAAGACATTTTCCTGTGTACATCGGGAGCTGTGCAACTGGTGCTTGTCTGACGACGTGCGTTACCACGCCTGCTATTTCCTCATGGACAGCTAGTTAGAACATAGAGCAAATGTGAATTCATGTGTTGCCGCGCTCTATCAATCATGCACCATCAAAAGCATAAACTAATCTATAAACATAATTGTGCACCATATGTGTATATATATATATCCCTTATACCGATCATTACAATGCATTAAATCTAGACACTATTATACAATAGGTTCTTTAGTTGATAATCCGGTAGTGATCTTAAACTTTATAGGAGAAATCCTGTATACAATATGTTGTCAGTCTCCCAATAAATGCAATACACCATTCAGTTCAGTATACTCTCCTTTGTGGTGATTAAGATATGGTGAATGTGGTATACAATAGAAGCTGCACCGCAGGTCAGTGTAATAAACGGAATCCTTTCCTTCCTCAGCTGGCTACTTGATCACATCCTCCTGAGGTGCAGTAGGCTATGAACTGGTGGTGTTAGGGCACCACAGAAAAGTGTAGGAATTGCTGATGATGTTGATAATGTTGCCCTCTAGCTGCACCCGTTTTATGACTGTAGTATGTTTCTGGTCTGTGCTTGAGCAAATGTAAAATTCTATGTGAAACTGGGCAAATCTGCCACACAGACATTTGACATGATTCAGCAAGGTTACGGTGATGTTGCAATGAGTCGTTCAAAGTGTTTTGAGTGGCACACATGCTTCAAGAGCGGAAGAACATCACTTGAAGATGACGAGAGATCAGGAAGACCTTCAATAAACTTAACCCCTGGAAATATCGAAATGTCAAAACCATTCGGCATGATGATCATTGGAGAACAATCCACAATATTGCTGCAATTGATGGTGTCATACGGAACAGTCTAGGCAATCCTCATGTGTGATTTGAACATGCATCGTGTTGCTGCCAAGTTTGTCCCCAGACTTCAATGATCTCATTTCCACCGTACGCAAGATTTGACTCCTGTGGACTTCACCCTCTTCCCAAAGATGAAGATCTAGCTCAAAAGTCGCCGTTTTGACAACATTGCAGAGATCCAGTGTGAATAGCAGAATTTGCTTGACACGCTTCACAAAGAAGACTTCCGGGACACAATCCAGAAGTGGCAGGAATGCTAGGAGCGCTGTATTGCTGTGCAAGGGGATTATTTTGAAGGTGATGGTGTGTAAATGTAGATAAAGTACTTTCTTGTAAACAGAACTAGTCTCAAAACTTTTTGATATTACCTAGTACTTCTCCACTGGGTACTACTGTAGTGGTGGCACCATCTTCAAGAACCACCACTGAACTGACATGCACTTTTTCACAGGACACCCACTGGCCACCACTGCACCAACACTCACTTCTCCACTGACCACTACTGTACCGGTGTGCATTTCTTCACTGAACACCACTGCAAAGATGTTCACTCTTCCAGTGAAAACCACTGCACCACAATTCACTCCTCAACTGACCACCACTGTACCAACATGCACTCCTCTGCTGACCAGCACTGTAATGTGCACTTCCCAACTGATCACCACTATAACAATGTGCACTTATTTACTGACCACCACTCTACAGTCACTTCTCCGCTGACTACCACTGCACCAATGTTTCATTTCCCAAAGACTACCACTGTACTGATGCGCACTTCTCCACTGACCACCACTGTACTGACATACACTACTCCACTGACTACCACTGTGTTGACATGCACTTTACTAACTGTAAACTAACGCAATACTCTTCTGACCACCACTGTACTGATGGGCATTTATCTACTGACCACCACTTTACCAATGCACATACCTCCATTGACCACCACTGTGTTGGCATGAACTTTAGTGACCACTGTGAACCAGTGCAATACTCCACTGACCATGACTGGAACCAGACATGTCTCTACTGACCACCACCATACCAGTAACGTTTTTTTTTTTACTAACCAATACCTTACTGATACACCTCTCCACTGACCACTGTGAACTTAACAACACATTTCTCCATTGACTTATGCCAATGTAATGGTGTACCACAAACTGCTACATTATATACATTGTGCTAGACATTATATTCTTCAGACTGCTGAACTCTGTATTATACATTTATACCATTACAAATTTTTGTTAGGATTTCTCTATTTAATCCTGTTCAACAAATGGACATGATTTTGTTGGCATCTAAAAAAATCATACTGCAGTATGAGCTGTCACTTGTAGCCCAGTTCATAGAACAGGGAAAACAGAAATTTTGAAGGGGAAACATTTTTCTGTTTTGGTACTTGAACACTTTGAAACACAAGTCATCTTTATGATTAAAATGAAAAAAAATATATTGTACATTTTAATTACTTTCTACAGAAAGATGTGAGGCATATGTTAAATGTGATGACATCCCTGTTAAATAAAATATTCTCTAGGGTCCCTTTTAGTATCTAGTCTTTAAGTTACAATTAAGTAGCCACAATCAGATTTTATTTTCCTAATACAAATAGTAGAGTGGAAGCAGATTTATTATTGCTTACTGTACTGTACATTAACACAATAACAAGGGTTATTTGTAAATTGTGTCAACCCCACCCCTAAAGAGCAGTCTGTTCATAATTGTCAGCATTTTTACTTGTAGATAAGAATTTGCTGTGTACAGCCCTGGCAGTGACGGGAAAAGCTTTCCTGGCATGTGCTATAACCTGCATGTACCTGTACACTGGAGAGCTGTACCCTACAGAAATAAGGTAAGCTTCCTATGAGTAACCTTGTGTATTTGCAGAATATGGGCAGAGGATAAATATTACATGCATTTACATGCATTGTGTTTTGTGACCCACAGGCAAACCGGGATGGGTTTTAGTGCTATGAATGCTCGTCTGGGCTCTGCTGTTGCCTCTGTCCTGCATCTAACAGGAGATTTCTCTTTTACAATACTTCCTATGATGTTCGGGATCACTCCTATTATTGCAGGCTTTTTCTCCTGCTGCCTGTTAGAAACCAAAGATTCCCCATTGCCTGACACTATTAATGAAGTGGAAAACAGGTGAGTTATACTTCTCTCTTTTCTAATTAAACCACGTTCCCCTTTTGCTTAGCTTTGGGATGGAATCCTTTGTCAATCCCTTTTGTTCTGGCTAAGTGGCAAGCAAAACATATAGATACAAGCACTATATAGGTGCAAAGGGCTTCACAATGTAAACTCTAGTATCCAGTTATAACCAGGGGCGGACTGACCATTTGGAAACTCGGGCACTGCCCGAGGGCCTGGGGTCAGTAGGGGGCCCCGTGAGATGCCATTGGTACCTTTTTCATAGGCTTTTTTGAGTTTGGGCAAGGACACAGGGGCCCCATGATTCCCTATTGCCCGGGGGCCCCATGAGTTGTCAGTCCGCTCCTGGTTATAACAGTTGTGTTACCATCAGATGAAGATTTGAATAGCTGTAAAATTATGTCTGTGATCAGTCATAATACGTTTCTAAAAAAAACATATATTACAGCTTACCAGAATTTAGATGAGGTGGCTGCATTAGTTTTCTTTTTCAGTCCTTTCTCCTTAATTTTCACCTGCTGTTCCTCCCAGTAACACACATCCAGACCTAGGGTGACACTGCTCACTCACTGTACTGTATCTGTGGAGGAGCAGCATTGTCACCCGAGTCAGCTCTCATCATTTAGACCAGTGTTTCTCAACCTTTTTTTCAGTCAAGGCACCCTTTAAAATTATGGATAATCTCAGGGCACCCTATTCTAAAATGTAAAACCTATTCTACACACATCCAGTACACCCAATGTTAGAGGTGATTTTTTCTTCTAAAGCAAATACACCTTTGTACACTGGTACCTACTAGTATTCCAGTATGTGTCTCTTTGTTTCTCTCCCTCACTCTGCTAATGTGACCCCAGTGCTGACGGAAAGGGACATACAAAGATGATGTGCATGAACTCCACGTCCTCCTTATCAACTGATGATGTCATTGGTTGTTAGGATGCTGGCAGCTAGAAGGTCGTAACAGTGAACAATGAAAGCCTGTGGCTGTGTGTACTAAAAGGCAGGATTGATCCACTTGCTGGCTTGTATACAATTTTTTGCCATTTTGCCAAGGCACCCCTGAAGAAGCCTGAAGGCACACCAGGGTGCTTGGGCACCCTGGTTGAGAAAGGTTGATTTAGACTACAAACACTTCCCCCTCTCCTTATCTCCATAATGCAGGGGGAGGTGTTCTGTAGTTCACATAAGATAATTGGGAAGACTGATAACATTGTTTGCGATAACGCCACAAGCGCACTGGAATTCTGGCAGAGTCAAATTATTTTTTTTTGGACTTGTAAACTACAAACTGCAATATATTAAATCTTTGTTTTTATATTTTATACGTCTAATGCTCACCACGCATGTTACAATGTGACTACCAACAACTGTATAGTGCAAGGGTCTGCCAGAATAGATACAAATTGATTGTATAGGTTAGGTGGGTCCTCTTATCACAAAGGTTTGGTAAATCTAAAGCTCTCGGTACAAAGATCATACAGCCAAATTGTAACTTGTATGATGAGCTATACAGATGTGTCCATGTGAGCACCAAGCAGAGGGAATCCCTAGGACTCTTTGAGCCCCCCCACACACACACACACTTTCATGTTTATTGGCTGTAGCCTTCTACTCGGTTAAATTCCTGCTAGATAGCATCAAGTAAGAGAAAGGACTGTCTTAGGGGGTTGAGAATCACATGACTAGCATTTCCCCATGATAAAGATCACTTTTATTTACAATTGAATTTAATGGACTTTTGTCCACTCAGAGTATGTAATGGAAATTTGTAAGATCTGTCTAATCTAATGCAATGTAAATATGTAAGATCTACATGTCCTATGCAATGTCACTACAAGATCAAAACGAAGCCAACATATTGTTATGGTTTTGATGATGAATTATTAAAATTGGGCCTTGTGTGGTAAATTTGGGGCAATGTTTGTTTCCAACTGTGTTGCCTTTGTGGTGATAACTTTAATTAAACATAAAGGGGGTCTCCTAGTGCAATGACTCTTCAAAAGGGGTATTGTCCAATCATATTACTGCTATGAAGCCCTGAAGCACGGGGAGCCCACAGCTATCCGGTTGTGCAATGACTTAGCTAGCCTTAGGCAAGTACATTTTCAGTTTACTAAGAGTTTGTAAACATGTATAATAAACATGTATAAGATTTCTATGAAAGCAAATTGAATTCAGTACCATAAGAGAAATTGCCTTGTGATAAGGATTAGTGTGACGGGATGCTTTAATGGTTTTGCTATGGGGCCACTTGTACAATATATATATATATATATATATATACATAGGCAACTACCAATTTATGACCAGATACTTTTTTTCCACAGAATCATAGATACTTCATCCGATTCTGAACAGTCTGACAGTGAAGAGTGGACTTATAAGGTTAATTTAAAAGAAATTCAATGATGGCCAACAGAGTATCTAGATGAGTCCTGACCAAGGATGTCTTGAAGAGTGAACAAGGTTGTAATGGCGTCATGGAGATTTGGTCAACATGATGTTTTTAGCAGATTGAAGAATTGCTTGGGAGTTCTTTAACCACTTGCCCTCCAGAGGATTTACCCCCCTTCCTGACCGGGCCATTTTTTTTGCATTACAGCACTGCATTACTTTAACTGACAGTTGTGCGGTCATGCAACAGTGCACCCAAATTACATTTACATCCTTTTTTTCCCATGAATTGAGCTTTCTTTTGGTATTTGATCGCCTGTGCGGTTTAAATTGTTTATGCTATAAAAAAAAGACCGTCAATTTTGAGAAAAAACAGTATTTTTTACTTTTTGCTATTAAACATGTCCAGCAACATTTTAAAAAATCAACTTTCATCATGAATTTAGGCCAAAATGTATTCTGCTACATGTCTTTGCTAAAAAAAAATCCCAATACATGTAAATTAATAAGTTTACGTGAAAGTTATAGCATTTACAAATAGCAGTATATATACTGGGTTTTGTTTTTTTTTTTTTCATTTTTACTAGTAATGGCGGCAATCAGCGACTTATAGAAGGACTGTAGCGGGCATTCTGACACTGGGGAGAACTGACATGGTGTCACTGACATCCCCAGTGACACCAATACAGTGGTCAGTGCAAATAAAAAGCACTGACACTGTGTACTAATGTCACTGGGCAGGAAGGGGTTAATATCTGGGGCGATCAAAGAGTTAACTGTGTGCTGAGTGTGTTTTACTTGGGGCTGTGTCTGTGTGTTTCACAGTAAGCACACTGCTTTGCATGGCTGTGCTGTGCACAGCCATGCAAAGCAGTGTGCCTGAGCTGATAGGCAGGAGAATTGTTTTGTTTACTAACAGTTCTCACCCCCGTCAGAGATCCTCGGCAATCATCGGGCACCAGCGAGTAATCACCGGCCGGGACCCGGTGATTCACAGCCGCTAATGGCGGCGTAGATAGGGTGCGTGTGTCCCCTACCCAGAAATGCTAAATCACGTATATACTGTATATAGCAGTATACTGTATCTGCTATAGCACAGACAGGAAGCGGTTAAAGGTGCTTTGTGATCATTTAATAACAACATTGGGGGAGTTGAATATACTTAAGAAAAGAGGTATTTACAGTATTTTGCTTTTCTCAATGAAGTATGTAGGAGAAGAGGAAATATAACATTTCCACAGTACAAATGTCTGTAACATTTTGTCGAATTTTGTAAAATATCCCAGAGCTGGTAGGATCCAATCAACTTTCAGCATTTCATCAATGTTTACTATTAGGAATGTTTGCAGTGGGGGAATGAAACTTCACTATATTACCAAAAGTATTGGGACACCCCTCCAAATCATTGGATTCAGGTGTTCCAATCACATCCATGGACATAGGTGTATAAAATCAAGCACCTAGGCATGCAGACTGCTTCTACAAACATTTGTGAAAGAATGGGTCACTCTCAGGAGCTCAGTGAATCCAAGCGTGGTACCGTGATAGGTTGCCACCTGTGCAATAAGCCCATCCGTGAAATTTCCTTGTTAGTAAATATTCCACAGTCAACTGTTAGTGGTATTATAACAAAGTAGAAGGAACTGGGAACAACAACAACTCAGCCATGAAGTGGTAGGCCAGGTAAAATGATAGAGCATGCTGAAGCACACAGTGCGCAAAAGTCGCCAACTGTCTGCAGAGTCAATAGCTAAAGACCTCCAAACTTCATGTGGCCTTCAGATTAGTACAACAACAGTGCATAGAGAGCTTCATGGAATGTGTTTTTATGGCCGAGCAGCTCCATCCAAACCTTACATCACCAAATGCAATGCAAGTGTCGGATGCAGTGGTGTAAAGCATGCCGCCACTGGACTCTAGAGCAGCTGAGACATGTTCTCTGGAGTGACGAATCACACTTCTCTATCTGGCAATCCAATGGACATGTCTGGGCTTGGCGGTTGCCAGGAGAATGGTACTTGCCTGACTGCATTGTGCGAACTGTAATGTTTGTTGGAGAGGGGATTATGGTGCGGGGTTGTTTTTCAGGGGTTGGGCTTTACCCCTTAGTTCCAGTGAAGGGAACTCTTAAGGTGTCAGCATACCAAAACATTTTGGACAATTTCATGATCCCAACTTTGTTGGAACAGTTTGGGGATGGCCCCTTCCTGTTCCAACATGACTGCGCACCAGTGCAAGGTCCATAAAGACATGGATGAGTGAGTTTGGGGTGGAGGAACTTGACTGGCCTGCACAGAGTCCTGACTTCAACCCGATAGAACACATTTGGGATGAATGACAGCAGAGACTGCAAGCCAGGCTTTCTCATCCGACATCAGTTTCTGACCTCACAGTTGCGCTTCTGGAAGAATGGTCAAACATTCCCATAGACACACTCCTAAACCTTGTAGACAGCCTTCCCAGAAGTGTTGAAGCTGTTATAGCTGTAATGGGTGGGCCAACTCAATATTGAACCCTACAGACTAAGACTGGGATGCTATTAAAGTTCATGTGCGTGTAAAGGCAGGCATCCCAATACTTTTGGCAATATAATGTATATTTTCAGAATTTGACCCAAGATATTGTATGTTCACATTCTTCTTGTTAGAGAAAAGGAGATAATAACTATGACCACAGCCATAAATCTGTCATTTAGTGGCGGGAGTATGGCATGTAGAGATCAGTGATTGACCTGAATAATTGACCATAATTGCTGTAGATTACTTTGCTGGATGCCATGATTGATGTGGAATTCCTTTTGAGGCATTAATAAACCTTATGTGTTTGCTTTTTGACTGATTAAAGGATTTTTGATTTAGTGAGTGGTTTTTTTTTATTTGTAACTCTTTTTGGGAACAGGTAAGGATTAGTGCCTATGAACTCATTCTCCTGGAAGGGGGCAGATATCAGATCACTCCCTTATTATAGAGGGGCTTCCAGATTCTCTGATTCCCCCTCCCAACCCCCATTTTTACTATTACCCCACCTCATTTTTGGGGAACATAGAAGTGGAGAAGGGGCTGTTGTCCCTCAAAATTTGGGTAAGGATGCTTTGCAAGGTGGGAGAGGCTTGCTGTTCCTTCTTGCAAGGTACCCTCCAATGTTAAAAGGTTTAAGGCCTACTACTGAAAGAAGAAGGGGTTCAAATGCTCACTATGTTCCCTCCACTGCCCACTAAGGCTTTTAAAGAGCTGGACACGTAATTAGATGCAGAATGTCTAGTATGTGCACAAAATTATGGATGCTGTTTGATTTTTAGCACATTTTTGCCAAAAATGAAGTGCACTCTAGCTTTCCAGAACTGAATCTGTGATGCCTGTGATGAATTTACGTTTGCCAAACACAAACAGCAACCCTATTTGCCAGTCCTTGTCTTATTGACTGGAAATCTCTTGTCAAACTAATAAAATTGCTACAAAAATATATCTGACAACTTGCATGCAAAAATAATCCCTTTATTTTATTAGTCCCTTTTATATTTACAACATCACTCAGGATACCATATACATATTTTAAAATTATTTAAAAAAAATGTACTATTTGACGTCCTTCTTTCCTGATATAGAATGTTCAGTTACAGTTAAAGGGAATACAATATAAACATCTCTTTCTTTCAGACATTTAACTTACCAAACCCAAAGGAAAATGGTGATTAGCTAGTCTTTACATTCAAAGATAGCTACAAAAGTCTTACAACATCATCTATAGTCAAATTATGTGGCTTGATTCATCCATTAAATGAGCATTCCACTTTCATTAGAAAGTATTGGTGTCCCAAATTGAAGGACTATTCCAGGACAGTGAACAGACTTTTTCTAAAAGTTGTTTCAGTTGACTTTAAAGATATTGCTGTATACAGCCAATCTCAAAAAGGATATCAGTAATTGTAAATTGGTCTAAAAATCTATAAGCATTCATATAATATGAATATCTGTGAAATATCATGTTTGACATGAGTGAATAAAACTGATTTTTCTCTCTTCAACATTTTAATCTTCATGTCTTGCTTCAACATGATTCCTATGTGTACTGGTAATAGAATATTGTAATAAAAAGTATTTTTTAATATCAAGCTCATATATGTTGTATTTTGTTGAATGATGACAGTAATATACAGTTTATATAGTTGCCTTGCATTACTATCTCTAGAACATGTTTCTTATCCTTAACATTTATTTGGCAAATAATGAAAACTGTGGTTTGCATCTTCCTTATCTAAACAGTGATTTAACAAAAGGTCACTTTTATTAATAAAAACCAATGAACAAAACTAATTTTAAAGTACCAGTATACAAATGTTGTAAGAGAACACCGCTTCATTAATATGGGGAATCAATTTTCATGATAAATGATATGTTCACTATACTTTGTGCCAGAGTGTATGCTACTAGAGAGTCGTCAGTACCCTGGGCAGGTACACAGGTTATATTCTGTACTCCTATATACCAGATTCAGTGGTGGTTAATGGTCAACAACCAGATGTCCTTGTTGTAATAGTCTCTGTGCAACAGAGTGATCTCACGATATACAGTATTCTGTCCTTTTCTCCTCTAGTGTTTGGGAGCTCAAATTGCATCCTTAAAGCAGGTGTCTGGCTTCTGGGCGAGAGGCGTAATCTCCATTTTTAATGCTTCTTCCTTTAACCAATTGTTTTTTAACCTCCTGAAAAAGAAAAATATATTTTATTCTGCTTGTCTTCTCCTGCAGCCACCAATTTCATGTTAACAAACGTTGTGTATGGCTTATTGGTAACATTTTGGATTTTTTGTTGGCTGTTCAAGCAAAGTAAAAGAACTGTAGATATTGTGGCCTTGCTTTAAAGTATATCTAAACAGCAGAGGTTCATATTTTAGTGTTGGATAGAGCAGGAAACTGTACATTTATTTTCAGGGGTTTATTTTGCTGTTTTGCATTGGAGAGATTTCCTTTGATTCTAAAGACACACCAGGAAGTGGGAGAAGATCTTTCTAAAGTTTGGGGTACTCTGCTCTTATATAAAACTGTTGTAAGGACAGATGTCCCCACTGGAGGATATCCCTCACCTCCTATGACAACTGTAATTTTAGATTTTTCCATAGTTTAATGTTCCAGTGACTATAGTCACCAGGACTGATAGAGGCGGGTCTCCTAGATGGAGGTTTTAGGGCTTAATCTAAATGAAATTCAAAAGAAAACTTCAAAAGTAAGTTCTGGTTTTGATTACATTTTAAGTTATTTAATTCAGAGAACACATTTAGACTAATAATAATAATAATAATAAATGTAGACTGTTGATATACATGTCAAAAAATAACAAAAAATGCTGAGCCATTTTTACTTTTTGTCCTGCTCATTCCCAGTTTATTGGACCATGCTCTTATCTTAATATATTATAGCATTCAAATCAGTAGAATAAATTAGCTCGAGAATATAAAGCCCAGCAATGTAGAGATGGTTTCATTGGCTCTGAAGGATATAGCTCTGGTCATGGAAGCACAGTACTGACTCTAAATTTACAATGGGAATTATGGAAAAACACAGCATTGGTTAGTATTGTGAGTCTTTGAAGGTGTTTAAAGTATAACTAAAGCCAAAACCGTTTTCATTTTAGGGAATGGTTTAAATTTGTCTTTAATTTTTTTTGCCATTTGTATGCTATTGTGGAGATTTCCTTTCACCCCCTGTCCTGTAGACACAATGGGAGGTGAAAGTGAAATTACCTCTTAGGTTAGGTTCTTGTCTATCTATATGTGCTTTAGTCCACTTTCTAAGCATTTGAACATTTGTACATTGTAGCATGTTTACATGTTTTCATTATTCTATTGGGAATCACGGCTAAGACATGCCTCATTTTTCAGAGTGTAGCACAACACAGCAGAAATCTGAACAGCCTCATTGAATAACCTTGCTTATTATGACACCTGCATTGTTTTGCTTTACAACCCATGTGATAAAACATGATGGTGTGAACAGGGCCTTAAACAGTTGTCACTGAAACATTGTAAGATTTCCCAATTTCTAATCTGGTGACAACTCATAAATTGGAGATTTTAATCACTTTCAGTCCCTGAGACAGTAGTTACCAGGGCAAATAGATAGGACGCATCTCCCTATCAGAGACAGAGCAACAAAAAACAAAATAGACAGGGAGTCTAACCCTTCGCCACTCTATACAAAACTAGAAACGTTTTTGGCTTTATATACACAATAAGCTGCATTTGTGAAAAAAAAAAAAAGTATTTTACAGCTGTTGCCACAAGCTCTTAGGTAGACTTCATAGTCATGTGTCTTAATTCTCTTGACTTGATTGCTCTACTGAAAAAGTGTGGCAAAGTCATTGAAATAATTGATAGTATGGGCTAGTAGCAGGACCAACTATATGCAAAATACCAGAGAACCACCCAATGTCTCACCTTTCCTCCACCTCTTGTATGGTATCAGTCAGAGGCTGGTTGCGGGTCTCAGTAAGCAAACATGAAGCAGCAATACCCGACAGAATGGGAGCTGTACCAAAGATGATGGCTGGTAGGATAGGGATGTGATCGCCAATTAAATGAATCACTGGTGCCACAACAGAACCAACTCTAGCATTGACATCTGAAAATCCCATGCCAGTTTGCCTGTAATACATAAGAAATCTGAAGCATTATGCACTGCATGTAGATATTTCTACATTCTTTCTTTTGAGGTAGCTGACATTTATAGCATATACCTTTGCTGTGCAGCTTACTACTTTACATATAGCTCTAATTTTTGGCAACAGTTGACACCAAAATGACACTTGGTGATTTTCTTCCATGAGATCATTAGACAGGAAATAAACCATGTTTAACCACTTGACCTCCAGAGGATTTACCCCCCTTAATGACCAGGCCTCTTTTTGCTACTCGGCACTGCACTAATTCAACTGATAATTGCGCGGTCATGCAATGCTGCACCCAAACGAAATTTACGTCCTTTTTTTCACACAAATAGAGCTTTCTTTCGGTGGTATTTGATCACCTGTGCGCTTTTTATGTTTTCACGCTATAAAACCAAAAAAGGCCAAAAAATTTTAAGAAAAACAATATTTTTTACTTTCAGCTATAACAAATAAATAGTAAACTCAAAGTTGGTTATAAATTTAGGCCAAAATGTATACTGCTACATGGTTTTGGTAAAAAAAAATCCCAATAAGTGTATATTGATTGCTTTGTGTGGAAGTTATAGCGTCTACAAACTATGGTATAGATACTGCAATTTACGCCATTTTTTTGCTATACAGCGCTGCGCTAGTTTAACGGACAATTGTGCGGTCATGCAATACGGTACATAAATGAAATTTACATCCTTTTTTTTCCCACAAATTGAGCTTTTTGGTGGTATTTTATCGCCTCTGTGGTTTTTATTTTTTGCGCTATAAACAAAAAGGCTGACAATTTTGAGGAAAAAAAAAACAATATTTTGGACTTTTTGCTATAAAACATGTCCAGTAAAAAAAAATTAAAAAATCAAATTTAGTCATAAATTTCTGCCAAAATGCATTCTGCGACATGTCTTTGCTAAAAAAAAAAAACCCAATACGTGTAAATTAATTGGTTTACGTGAAAGTTATAGCGTTTACAAATGGCGGGAAAGATACTGGGATTTTTAGGTTTTTTTTTATACTAATAATGGCGGCGATCAGCGACTTATGGCGGCAATCAGTGACTTATGGCGGCAATCAGCGACTTATGGCGGGACTGCAGCGGACATTCTGACATTGGGGGGTACTGACTTGGGGTCACTGACATCCCCAGTGACACCAATACAGTGATCAGTGCAAAAGAAACCCAACTGACACTGTACTAATGGCACTGGGGAGGAAGGGGTTAAGTTTATTTTTCAGGGAAAGGGTTATCTGTGTGATGGGAGTGTTTTACTAGGGGGCGGGGGAGTGTACTGCAGGGAACACCGCTGATCGGGAGAGAAAAACTCTTCTGTCCCGTTCAGCGTATCCTGGAGCTGTCAGGGAACTGACAGAAAGCACAGCTACTGCAGCTGTGCTCTCTGTCAGCGATTGCCGCCGATCGCCGGGACATAGCCGGTAATGACCAGCTGTGACAAGGCGACTGACATCCGCAGCTGTGATCGGCGGGACAGGTAGGGCGACGGCGCACCTCACGCGCACACCCTACCTGTTTACAAAACACACGTTTTAAAACATGCTTTTGCCTAGCCGCGCCGCCGTATTTATACAGTGGCTGGGCGGCATGTAGTTAAAGGGTGTTTCCTGTGCCATGACCTCTTTTAGTGGAACAGGAAGTAAGGGAAATTTATCAAGTGGGACATTGCAAAAAAAAAAAAACATTTTTTTTTTACAGAAGTTCTAATCCTTCTTCTTTCCAAAAAATTGTTATTTCTTCTGTAATAATAACTTCCATGGGTTATGATTTATTTTACAAAAACAAAATTGTAAGCTAGCTGTAACAGCCCTATAATAGATTTTTAAAAGCAGTAATTACCGTATTTCGGTGGGGAAGAGTTCTCCAGAATACAAGTAGGCACACATGAAGGCCGAGGCACAGAATCCTTTACCAAGGGCAGCCAATGCTGTTCTCAGTACTCGCATGTCTAAAACAAGAGCAAGAGGATTATAATAAAACAGTTGCTGCAAGACTTTTGAGTTGAAAGCTGACCTCCAGGCCAGGGGCGGACTGACCATTTGGAAACTAGGGCACTGCCCGAGGGCCCGGGGTCAGTAGGGGGCCCCATGAGATGCCCCTGGTACTTTTTTCATAGGCTTTTTTGAGTTTGGGCAAGGACACAGGGGCCCCATGATCCCCTATTGCCCGGTGGCCCCATGAGTTGTCAGTCCACCCCTGCTCCAGGCAAACAGCTTAGGTGTCATTTTATGAAACTGAGATCAGCGGCTATCCTGAGGATCGTTGCTCATCTCAGATCATTAGTGGTTTAGAAAACAGAGATGATCAGAACATGTTCTCCTCTGATCATCTCAGCACACAGCTGGCCAGTATATGAAGGAGCGATGTCAGCCCTTCACTGGCGATCTGTGTTCTCCCTCCAGATTCTCCAGCCCAGAGCTGGAGAATCGGGGGAACCACAAATGAAGCAGCGATAATTTACCGCTGTTTAGTAAACTGTGTTTGACTGATCTCTTACTGTAATCTCACCAGATTACAGTAACATCAGCCGTTTTCTAGTGTTCAAAGCGTTTGTAGATCGCTTCTCTCCTCATTAGGAGAAGCGATCCACACCACTTCATAAAAAGGCATTCAGAGGAGAACTGTCTCCTCTGAGAATGCCAGAGAACTGAGCAGCGGTCATTTACCACTGGTTTATAAAAGGACACCTTAATGCACAAATGAAATACATATATGGGAACTGTCCATATACAGTCAGGTCCATAAATATTGGGACATCGACACAATTCTAACATTTTTGGCTCTATACACTACCACAATGGATTTGAAATGAAACAAACAAGATGTGCTTTAACTGCAGACTGTCAGCTTTATTTTGAGGGTATTTACATCCAAAGCAGGTGAACAGTGTAGGAATTACAACAGTTTGCATATGTGCCTCCCACTTGTTAAGGGACCAAAAGTAATGGGACAATTGGCTTCTCAGCTGTTCCATGGCCAGGTGTGTGTTATTCCTTTATTATCCCAATTACAATGAGCAGATAAAAAGGTCCAGAGTTCATTTCAAGTGTGCTATTTGCATTTGGAATCTGTTGCTGTCAACTCTCAAGATGAGATCCAAAGAGCTGTCACTATCAGTGAAGCAAGCCATCATTAGGCTGAAAAAACAAAACAAACCCATCAGAGAGATAGCAAAAACATTAGGCGTGGCCAAAACAACTGTTTGGAACATTCTTAAAAAGAAGGAACGCACCGGTGAGCTCAGCAACACCAAAAGACCCAGAAGACCACGGAAAACAACTGGGGTGGATGACCAAAGAATTCTTTCCCTGGTGAAGAAAACACCCTTCACAACAGTTGGCCAGATCAAGAACACTCTCCAGAAGGTAGGTGTATGTGTGTCAAAGTCAACAATCAAGAGAAGACTTCACCAGAGTGAATACAGAGGGTTCACCACAAGATGTAAACCATTGGTGAGCCTCAAAAACAGGAAGGCCAGATTAGAGTTTGCCAAATGACATCTAAAAAAGCCTTCACAGTTCTGGAACAACATCCTATGGACAGATGAGACCGAGATCAACTTGTACCAGAGTGATGGGAAGAGAAGAGTATGGAGAAAGAAAGGAACTGCTCATGATCCTAAGCATAGCACCTCATCAGTGAAGCATGGTGGTGGTAGTGTCATGGCATGGGCATGTATGGCTGCCAATGGAACTGGTTCTCTTGTATTTATTGATGATGTGACTGCTGACAAAAGCAGCAGGATGAATTCTGAAGTGTTTCGGGCAATATTATCTGCTCATATTCAGCCAAATGCTTCAGAACTCATTGGACGCCGCTTCACAGTGCAGATGGGCAATGACCCAAAGCATACTGCAAAAGCAACCAAAGAGTTTTTTAAGGGAAAGAAGTGGAATGTTATGCAATGGCCAAGTCAATCACCTGACCTGAATCCTATTGAGCATGCATGTCACTTGCTGAAGACAAAACTGAAGGGAAAATGCCCCAAGAACAAGCAGGAACTGAAGATAGTTGCAGAGGCCTGGCAGAGCATCCCCAGGGATGAAACCCAGCGTCTGGTGATGTCTATGCGTTCCAGACTTCAGGCTGTAATTGACTGCAAAGGATTTGCAACCAAGTATTAAAAAGTGAAAGTTTGATTTATGATTATTATTCTGTCCCATTACTTTTGGTCCCTTAACAAATGGGAGGCACATATGCAAACTGTTGTAATTCCTACACCGTTCACCTGATTTGGCTGTAAATACCCTCAAATTAAAGCTGACAGTCTGCAGTTAAAGCACATCCTGTTCGTTTCATTTCAAATCCATTGTGGTGGTGTATAGAGCCAAAAAATGTTAGAATTGTGTCAATGTCCCAATATTTATGGACCTGAATGTATATCTGTCCATCTCTTTCTGAGATTTACACAGTTCTGCCACACAGTACAGCTCTGTCTGGGAGGGCAGGGAAGCTTATTTTTTTCAATACTACACTTATGTCTTGTCTCTGCCCCTAGTCTGTGGATGAACAGTGATGTAGAAGCTGCACAGCGATGAGTGGATCCCTCTGTTACTCTCTTCTCTCCCCCATCCAGTATGTTCTGTGTTAGCATATGAGTACTGCAGCGCAAATGTGTGGCTCCTTCTGCTTATCCTCCCTTTCCAAATCTGAGCTCTGCTATACAGTGAACTGTAGGAGGTTGATACCAAGTCAAATTCAGGTACTTATTCTTCTTGTATATAAACAAATATATATATACTCATAAATACAGAGCTGCAACAAGTCTTTTATATCAGTCTGGAGTTCAGCTTTGATGTTTCCATACTAGTATAGTTGGAAAACTGGTAAAAACTAATTCTGGCCCCTTCAAACTGAAGCCCATTTACTGAATATACAATGTGCAAATCCGAAAGTTAAGAAATTACTGGACAGAAATTAGACTAGACAATATGATGAATTAGAGCGCCTTACCTACTGGTACAAAAATATTGATGATGATCATGGTACCAGCAAGGATAAGGAAAGTGGCTTGTGTCACTCGTCGTCCTACATAACTCATTATTAAGGCTGCCACAAACTTGGCTGGGACATCAATGGCACCAAAACAGAACTGCACAAGGTAGACACTGATTCCAAATTTCTGCAGGTCCATAGCCAGGCCATAGTATGCAAAACTTGTGGAGAACCTACACATAATAAAACAAGGAATGTATACTCTGGAATGCACATATACACATTCATTACTATTCTCTATTTCAAATACATATTATCTTCTCTCACCATATTCTATTGGGTTGATTTACTAAAACTGGCGAGTGCAAAATCTGGTGCAGCTCTGCATGGTAGCCAATTAGCTTCTTCAGCTTTTTCAGTTAAGTTTTGACAATAAAACCTGAAAGCTAATTGGTTTCTATGCAGAGCTGCACCAGATTTTGCACTCTCTAGTTTTAGTAATTCAACCCTAATGACCATTTATATGTAATTCCAGAATCCTTTATATTATAATCATTGCAAATCCTTCCTGAACTTCTGTGAATTATTTTTCAAGTCCTATCTATTCTAACATCTCTTTTTAATTTTAAATAAACAGCATGTTGAAACTGCCTTCATCATATTAAGCAAACGTACATCTAAAGCTGAACTTTACCCATATACAACTTGATAAAAAATAATGTTCGTTAGCAAGGAACATACATTCCACATTAATAATTTTGCTACCACAATTAGTGCTGTAAATTGCCTCCAGCATTGCTCCAGTTTCTTCTTGCTGAAGGCTGCCATTTTGCTGAAACCCAGAGCCCCAGTACAGCAGTAAATCATAAAGTGAAACTAAACCCGTCACTTTAACGGTTTTGAAAAACGTTACATGCCTGGATTGCTATCTGTCACATTTGCTTGTGTCCGCAACCAAACTGTCAAACCATCCAAAGGCAGGTATCATAACTGATCACATGTGCAGCGCCATGGCAGTTGCAGATCAAACAAAAGCAGCTTCCTTGGCTGTAAACGATAGGAGGGTTTAATTCAGCTTTAAGGCTGTAAGCAGATTGGCCTCTAAAAATTTGTCAGCGCATAAATATAGAGAGCAACTGAGCACGTGCAGAGCAGGGTTAGACAGTGGGGTTGATTTACTCTGAAGAGTGCAAAATCTGGTACAGTTCTGCATAAAAACCAATCAGCTTCCATTTTTTTATTGCCAAAGGTTAATTGAGCAAGCTGAGATTAGAAGCTGATTGGCTACCATGCACAGCTGCACCAGATGTTGCACTCTCCAGTTTTAGTAAATGAACTCCAGCATATTACTGGATTGTAAACAGTATAGGCACTTATGTTTTAAAGTGGTTGTAAAGAATTTTTTTTTTTTAAATAACAAAACATGTCTATACTTACCTGCCCTGTGCAATAGAATTGCACAGAGCCACCCTGACCCTCCTCTTCTCGGGTCCCCCCGCTGGCTCCTTCTCTTTTGCTGGTGCCCCCAATATTAAGTCGATTCCCATGGGGGCACTCATATGGGCTCACTCCCGAGCCCCTGCTGCTGCATCCGTTGACACAAAACAGCAGGACTTGGCCCCTCCGGCTCCCTCGTCACTGGAGTTGATTGGCAGGATCCAATCGCTTCCGCTGCTATCGATCTGCCCGGTGAGGAGGGAAAAAGCAAAGAGAGGCACAGCTCTCATGCACAGCGCTGCATTGGTCAGATAAGCATAAGGGGGGTAAGGGGGCAAGTCTATGACACAGAAGGTTTTTTACCTTAGTGCATAGATTGCATTAAGGTAAAAAACCTTAAAGCTTTAGAACCACTTTAATGTGTTACATAGGTATACCTGCAAAAGTGGCCAGAAATGATCTAGCAGGACTCAAGTTTCTTACTAAAGTTCCACTTTAGGGGTTTGAAAACAGTTGCAGGCAGGGGCGGACTGACCATTTGGGAACTCGGGCACTGCCCGAGGGCCCGTGGTCAGAAGGGGGCCCCATGAGATGCCTTTCATAGGCTTTTTTGGGTGTGGTTTGAGTGTGGGCAAGGACACAGGGGCCCCATGATCCCCTATTGCCGGGGGCCCCATGAGTTGTCAGTCCACCCCTGGTTGCAGGTTAACGCCATGTTCCTTAAAAAAAAGTATATATGTGGATGGGGGCTGAATGAACAAGCATCACCTTTACATAGGTATTCTGCCATTGATCTATCTATAACTGAAGACTGAAGGGAACGTTCAAGCATGTGAATAGAACAGCATTAAACAGGCGCACAACCCCCAATCCATTAAAAGAAATGTGTGCTTTGCCAAAATAGAACACAGCAACAAGTTCACTTTAATACTGGCCATACTTACCTTCTCGTCACTATCTCCTGTTTGGCTGTTAAGATTGCTGGCCCTGTTTAAGCTTTAAGCCTCAAGTCACAAATTGGAGCTTACACAGGGCAGAATGCTATTTCCTCAGACCAGGGGCGGACTGACAATTCATGGGGCCCCCGGGCAATAGGGGATCATGGGGCCCTTGTGTCCTTGCCCAAACTCAAAAAAGCCTATGAAAAAGCTACCAGGGGCATCTCATGGGGCCCCCTACTGACCCCGGGCCCTCGGGCAGTGCCCGAGTTTCCAAATGGTCAGTCTGAGTCACATTCCCCCCCCTGCTCAATAGTACAATGGTTTAACTCCTTAGTCCTTAGTGTAGGTTACAGAGAGATCACAAATACCCAACATGGACAAAATTTTCTCTTTTTTCTCTCCAAATTTCAGTAATCAGCTCAACAACTGTGTATAATCTATCAACAGAAAAAACACTTGTTTTTAATTGAGTATCACTAAGAACTCACCAGACCATCATCAAACACCCCGTGATACGTCTCATTCCTGGAGTTCGCACTAGGTCCAATAAGGTGTGAGAAGATTTTCTGTTAGAAATTTCATGTCGCATCTCCGCAATCATCTCCTACAAAAAGGAGCATATTCTCTCACTGTAGATTGTAAGCTCCAAGGAGCAAGGCCCTCCTAACCCTCTAGTATTGAACTGTATCATTGCTGTATTGTCTCCCATTATATTGTAAAGCACTGAGCAAACTGTTGGCACTATATAAATCTTGTATAATATTAATAATAATAATAATAATAATATTCACTGAGGCTCATAACAATTGTATAATCAAAGAATAAATGGTGAACGCAAGAAAAAAAAGGAAAAATTAAAGCAGCTAGCACAACGTCTCCATCTCCAGCCCGCAGTGTACCAAGGAAAGGGATTGGAGCATATAGTGTAGTATGTTTTATTAAAAAGATAGCAACCACATGGAGCATAAAATCATCAATGGATAAAAACCACTTACAAAGATGGTCACTGGACCATCATGTGGATGTATCGGCGTGACATCAGCACATAGGCTCCTCTGTGACACGTTTCGTGCTCATGCACGTTCTTAAAGGGATCCACCTAGGTCTATGAGCTTGCCCTCTAGGAGGAATCCCTTTCCTTGGTTCACCGTGGGCTGGAGATGGAGGCTTGGCTACTCTACCTTTGATTGTTCATTTGGTGTATCACTGGCTTCTGGAAAGAACACACCTTCAACCGGGTCACCGGCAGGAGGAACAAGCAGGAACACCCTTTAGTGTCATTCCGCTCTGGGCTTGCTTGCTACTTACTTCTGGTGAGTGCATTATGGTGGAGGTGCAGCGCGGAAATCACAGAAGTCACTACATTTTGTTGATTTGATCACATCACTATTCTTGGGACTATTATGATATTTAGAGGACTTATATATTTTCATTTGTTATTTGTTATACCATCCATTTTGTTTCTTCATTGAAGTATTCACTATTCTCTATTTCTTTTTTATGATGTTTCCTTTCTCTTTTACTGTCACACTGGTCATCATTGATTATAATACTCATAACAAGTGTATATTTGCCTATTGGCAAAGACCATATTTACCATCAGTCATATATTTACTGGTGCCTAAGACAGAAGTGTATGGAGGGGAACACAACATTCAAAAACTGTGTCTATATTTTCTTTGTACTTCTATGGCCAACTATGGACATTTGTAAGTAGACTCAGCATAAGAATGGAAGAGGGAGAGGTAGCAGGGGCTGCTACTAGAAATCAGATTGTAATTCAGGAAACACGCTTCTTTTTCTCTACAGGCTTATATGCACTTTTTGAATTTTAATTTGTAAAAAAAAAAAAACATGGTTTTTGACAAAAGGAATAATAACTATACAGCTTAGTGTTGTTATTATTGTACTGCATGTAGATGATTGTATGACTTCATACAACATATAACAGCATAGCTTTTAATTAAAGCCCTGCAATTTCCTCAACCATTTATTATCCAGCATTGTCTTTGTGATTCCAAACTCACATCTTTAGTCATCTTAAGTCCCTCTTCAAGCTTGCCATTCATTCTTGCCACACGTCGAAGATTAGTCAGTGCTTGGTCTGTCTTCCCATTTAAAATAAGCCAGCGACCAGACTCCTGCAGGAACCTTCATACAACACACATAGAAGCCATCAGTTCTAAGCACTTGTAGTGATACTTCATTCATGCATATATACTGTACATCAGATTAAAGAACTATTTTTTCAGAAATGTTGATAATGGTGAACTTAACTAAGACTTGTCATAATTTTGCCACTGGTGACACCTTACTGGCAACAGAACCACAGAAATGCCTCTGATTTATCTACAGAGGCCAGAATACTGCTGAATCTCTAACACTAGAGAAATAGCAATGACAGGGAGACATCTTACTGGTTCACCTGTTACCTTTAGGGCACACATATTAGGGCATACAGAACCATGTTACTATAATCATGTTAAGTGGGACCTAGCACCAGACATACTATTTAATGCTAATTGCATGCATGATAACTACATTTTGTTAAGGGGAGGTAAAATCCCATGGTTGAGCCACACTTTTACTTCCCCCCAACTGCGATCCCTTTTAGCTTCAAAGGCAGAAGCTGGGGGTATATACACACTGTGGCGGCAAGAATTATACCCTCTCTTGTTTTTGGCAGATTGAACTCATTCAAGTGAATGCAATGCACACGGTTGTGGCATGCTACCTCAGGGATCAAGCAGTTAAAGTGCGGTGGTGAGGAGGCAATACAATGCATGTCAAGTGCTCTCTGAAGAGCAATCCAAATATCGCTCTTCAGAGAGCACTGCTAGTGTGTCAGTTTCTATTTCTTGACCTTTGATGTTGGCTCAGAGGTGACACAATCATCTCTTTGCAGATCTTTTTTCGCATGTTGTCTTAGACAAATTAGATCTCTCAGCTTGTGATTTGGTAAAAAGTTACAATGTTATAGCATGATCACTGGAGGAGAGAAGACTGAGGAAATGCTTTCTCCTCTGTGAAGAATCTAGGCTGTTACTTGACTAGAACAGCACATCCAATTCAATGGTGGCTATCAGCCAATATTGCACCCCTTCTTATTGCAGGCCACTGTATTGCCACCACTGGTATAGTGTAAATGGTCCTTTATAAAAGTCCTCATTACAATATACCCTCTCTGCATTGTGGTATGGCAGTGAAAAGCAGGGGCGGACTGACCATTTGGAAACTCGGGCACTGCCCGAGGGCCCGGGGTCAGTAGAGGGCACCATGAGATGCCCGTTACCTTTTTCATAGGTTTTTTTGAGTTTGGGCAAGGACACAGGGGACACAGGGGCCCCATGATCCCCCATGAGTTGTCAGTCTGCCCCTGGTGAAAAGGTTCCTTGTAACATTATTGATCAGCAGTGTGTTTATCTGGGTAAAAGCCCCTCTTTAAATTGGCGGTAAGGCAGTGGAGAGGCCCTCTATAGGCCCCTTTTACATTGATGATCAGTGGCACTCACTTTGAGCTCTGGTGTATATGTAGATCATGTAGATCATCTCTGTGACTGATTATTGAAACAAAAAGGTTCCTCTAAATCCCCTTTGCCAGTTGGCAAAAACAGACTCAGATTCAGTGACAAAAGGATTTGATTTACAAAAAGCAAATAGGATTATTACTTAGCTAGGGAAGTTGCACTTTGGAAGGGAATTTTCCCCAGAGCTTAGTGAATGTGGTGAACTTTCACTTTGCAAAGGATACCTAATCACATGGCAGGAAACAAAAATAGCATTTTTGCATTCACTAAGCTTGGAGGAAAATTCCCTTGCAAATAGGATGTTTACTTTGCAAGGGAAGTTGCACTTTGGAAGAGAATTTTCCTCAGAGATTAGTGAATGCGGTGAAATTTCACTTTGCAAAGGATACCCAATCACAGGACAGGAAAATACAAAAATAGCATTTTTGCATTCACTAAGCTTGGAGAAAATTCCCTTGCAACTTGCAGCTTCCTCTGCAAAGTGAACAGACTGTTTGCCATTAGTAAATTGACCCCTCAGAGTCCACCCTTATATTACCTGGTTACCATCCTACCTGGCTCCAGGAATACAGCACAAGGACAATTACATTTGTTAATCACCCCATAGGACCTGTCAATGTTACCCCTGACCCCATACTCCATAACAGTCAGATCAATTACTATTGCAATAACTACCCCACCTATGTCCAAAGGGTCATAAAGATCCAAAATCAATTATTCCAAGCACTTTTCTACTCCGCTTTAACATATATCGTAGAGCTAATGGAACATTAATACCCACCATGAATATATGAAGAAAACGTAAAAAGGAGCGGTGACAGAAAACTGCAGCCAGCGCCAGTCACGAATAGCATATGCCAGTCCTGCTAGCACCATTTGACCAGAAGTGAAAACGTATCCGACGAATGTGCCAGCGAGAGTACGTCCTTTGACTGGCATCCATTCCAGCACTGTCAAATAGAGAGAATGGGTATAGGTATATGTGTTCATGTAACCTAGGGCATCAGCTTTGACCAATCTAACATAAATTTATAAGTCCTATGCTGCTTTGTGTTAATTGAAATATTTTATGTTGGTTAAAGTATCAGTTAATTGTTAGTTGTTTAAATCTTTTCATCTGTACATAGCTTGATAAATAGTTACATAGTTAGTCTGGCTGAAAAAAGACAAAAGTCCATCCAGTTCAACCTAAAAAAAAAGTTATAATCCTATACCCACAGTTGATCCAGAGGAAGGCAAAAAAAACCCAGCAAAGCATGATCCAATTTGCTCCTGCAGGGAAAAACATTCCTTCCTGATCCCCCGAGAGGCAATCGGATATTCCCTGGATCAACTTTACCTATAAATGTTAGTATCCAGTTATATTCTGTGTATCTAAGAAAGAATCCAGGCCTTTCTGCATTCATCAATACATGACTATAAGTTGTTACAATATAGAGCAGTGAGTTGGTTTATAGCAATATATGAGGTTTTCCACTAATGCAATCCTACGTATTTGAAGATTGTTTAACAAATATCCCCTGATGTGAGTATATACAACAATATAATATCTGGCATATGACAATCATTCTGGTGTATGTGGAAGGTTCTGTGGGCTGGTATGAGCTTTGTGGTCTACTTCAGGGCCCGGGGACAAGGGGTGGGCAGGAGGGGCAGCTGCCCAGAGCAAGGAAGCAGAGAATGAATGTAGGGTGGTGCATAATTTCCACAACATGCATTAATAGTGGGGAGGGGGTGCAGTTCTGCATCCTTTCCCTGGGCGCTGGATAGACCTGTCCTGGTACTGGTCTACTTATCAATATTTATTCACTAAAATATTCTATAGCCTACGTAATCTGCATGGCCTCAAATACTTTACCGAGTCATCATGATAACAGCTCATGAGCTTTGTTGTTCTGTTTGGCACAGGAAATTTTGGTTACGTGCAGTGATATGGGCTACTTGCATGTCCAGACTAGTACTGAATTATCGAATAATTTATGTTTGCATGCTTCTGTACTCAGGGTTGTATTTACCACAAGGCAAACAAGGCATTTGCCTAAGGCGGCATTTTTCAGGGGGGCAGCACTGCCCCACGGAAGAAGGGACACACGCGGCATGGGGACCTGGTGGGTTCCAAGAGAGGCTGCGGGTTTCATGATAGTGTATGCATAGCCCAACTTTTGTTCCCAGGGATGTCCACAGCTGTGAAGGTAAGTGTCTTTCTCTCTCTCACCATGGGGGATGGTGGCTGATGCATGGGGGGCAGTGGTAGTGGAAGGCTCTCTTGGGTGGGAGGCAGGGGTGTTGGTGGTCAATGTCAGGTTCTCTCTGCGGGGGGCGCCGATTTTTGTGTTGCCTAGTGGCAGCACAAAACCTAAATACACCACTGGCTGTACTGTACAGAATTGCTTTGTGCTGTTTTTGCAGTTCTGCTCCTTGAATTAAAATGATTTACTCTATAATGAATTGCAAAAGTATCAAAACATGTATGGAAAACATTTCACATGAATGATGGAAACTCACTTAGGCAGAGTGTGTTAAGTAAGACGCTGGAGAAAGTCATTCCACTAATAAGTCTGAAGAATACATAGCATGGGAAGTTAGGCAGGAAAGCAACAAGAGAACCGGCTACTGACATCTGCATGTATGACCAGATGAGGATTGTCCGACGACCGAACCTGCAGCCAAACAGACCATTCACTTTTTAATGTAGGCAGTGATAGGTATCATTCCAAATGGGGTTCAGGGCAACAAATTACACAGGCCTTTATCTCAGAAAGTACAGGTTGCCTTGTTAGCAAACATCCACTTTACAGATGATAAAGTCATTGAATTTGCACAAATTATTTGATTTTAATGTTATTGTAGTTTTATAATGATTTTTTTTTATTTTCATCTTTAAAATTTAATTTGTGACATTTGCGAGAAGGAAAATAGAGGTGTAGAATATCTTCCAATAAATTATTGTGGAGATGCTAATTTCTTGTTATGTATTAAAGTGTTACCAAACCCACAACAGTAAAATCAGTCTGTATATGCAGTACAGCATGCTTGTTATACTCAATGTGGAACCTAAGGGGTTAATCCTCTGCATTGTGTAAAAAGGATGTTTGATCCTGACTTCTCTGCGCCTCCCCTTCTTCCAGTGTCTCCTAAATATCTCCTGATAGAAAAGAGGCTCGGAGGCTAGCTGCACATGCTTAGTTTGGTGTGTATTACTATAGAGTGTTTTTTTTTTTCTTGGGAGAGTGCATGTGATCAGGACTGGGCCAATCAGCACTCTCCAGACAGAGGTCAGGGGTTCTGCATTCTCCTACAGGAGAATGAAAACTCCTCCTACAAGCTGTAACCAGTGCTTTGCCGGACACTGATAGAAGTCACAAGACTGCTACAGTCAGGTCCATAAATATTGGGACATCGACACAATTCTAACATTTTTGGCTCTATAAACCACCACAATGGATTTGAAATGAAACAAACAAGATGTGCCTTAACTGCAGACTGTCAGCTTTAATTTGAGTATTTACATCCAAATCAGGTGAACGGTGTAGGAATTACAACAGGTTGCATATGTGCCTCCCACTTATTAAGGGACCAAAAGTAATGGGACAATTGGCTTCTCAGCTGTTCCATGGCCAGGTGTGTGTTATTCCCTCATTATCCCAATTACAATGAGCAGATAAAAGGTCCAGAGTTCATTTCAAGTGTGCTATTTGCATTTGAAATCTGTTGCTGTCAACTCTCAAGATGAGATCCAAAGAGCTGTCACTATCAGTGAAGAAAGCCATCATTAGGCTGAAAAAACAAAACAAACCCATCAGAGAGATAGCAAAAACATTAGGCGTGGCCAAAACAACTGTTTGGAACATTCTTAAAAAGAAGGAATGCACCGGTGAGCTCAGCAACATCAAAAGACCCGGAAGACCACGGAGAACAACTGTGGTGGATGACCGAAGAATTCTTTCCCTGGTGAAGAAAACACCCTTCACAACAGTTGGCCAGATCAAGAACACTCTCCAGGAGGTAGGTGTATGTGTGTTAAAGTCAACAATCGAGAGAAGACTTCACCAGAGTGAATACAGAGGGTTCACCACAAGATGTAAACCATTGGTGAGCCTCAAAAACAGGAAGGCCAGATTAGAGTTTGCCAAATGACATCTAAAAAAGCCTTCACAGTTCTGGAACAACATTCTATGGACAGATGAGACCAAGATCAACTTGTACCAGAGTGATGGGAAGAGAAGAGTATGGAGAAGGAAAGGAACTGCTCATGATCCTAAGCATACCACCTCATCAGTGAAGCATGGTGGTGATAGTGTCATGGCGTGGGCATGTATGGCTGCCAATGGAACTGGATCTCTTGTATTTATTGATGATGTGACTGCTGACAAAAGCAGCAGGATGAATTCTGAAGTGTTTTGGGCAATATTACCTGCCCACATTCAGCCAAAATGCTTCAGAACTCATTGGACGCCGCTTCACAGTGCAGATGGACAATGACCCAAAGTATACTGCAAAAGCAACCAAAGAGTTTTTTAAGGGAAAGAAGTGGAATGTTATGCAATGGTCAAGTCAGTCACCTGACCTGAATCCGATTGAACATGCATTTCACTTGCTGAAGACAAAACTGAAGGGAAAATACCCCAAGAACAAGCAGGAACTGAAGACAGTTGCAGTAGAGGCCTGGCAGAGCATCACCAGGGAAACCCAGCGTCTGGTGATGTCTATGCGTTCCAGACTTCAGGCTGTAATTGACTGCAAAGGATTTGCAACCAAGTATTAAAAAGTGAAAGTTTGATTTATGATTATTATTCTATCCCATTACTTTTGGTCCCTTAACAAGTGGGAGGCACATATGCAAACTGTTGTAATTCCTACACCGTTCACCTGATTTGGATGTAAATGAATGCTGACAGTCTGCTGTTAAAGCACATCTTGTTCGCTTCATTTCAAATCCATTGTGGTGGTGTATAGAGCCAAAAATGTTAGAATTGTGTCAATGTCCCAATATTTATGGACCTGAGTGTATATACTGCTGATGAGAAAAGTTATTTAGCAGTTTATATTTACTAAAATAATTGCATTTCCATGTTCTGTGTACTGTGGGAGACCAGAGCTAGTGCAGGGTCCTGGGTTTAGTAATACTTTAAATTTGAATACTTTACATATAAATACATGAATGAAGGCATGTAACTATTTCATTGGGCAACCATATATTATAGAGATGGAGGTCCTGGATATGGCCCTGGGCTTATTGATCTAGCCTTAAAGTGTATTTAAACCCACATAATTAAAAACTATCAGCAAATGCTATTTTCTGCAAAAAGACTGGTTGATACCACTATTCTCTATCTCCCCTTTCTGTCCATGTCCTCACTACAGTTGGGGATTTTGCAGAGAAGTGTAGGCAGCTATTGCACATGCTCAGTTTTCACTGTATTTCTAAGCTGTTTGTTTCCTCTTTGATCACGTCTGAGCAGCCCATGTGACTACAGAGTCACAAATGTGGGCATATACACACTGGTAAATGATGGCCCTTTCTCTCTCTCTACTCCTCGATGCCCACTAACCAGCTAAACACAATAGAGGTGGGATATTATGTCTTGATTGATGGAGGCTTCACATCCTTGTTATTCTAAAACACAGAATCGAGGGGCATGACACAGCCTGTGACTGGCTGAAATATGCCTATACCATGTGATTGATAAAAAAATAATAGATTTGATTTCAATTATATATTTGTATGACAATTTAAAACAGTTAAATGATATCAACTATTGTGATGTGACCAGTAGCAGAGGACTAGAAGCTCCTCCTGCCACTGTTTCCCTGCAGACAAGTTGGGAAAGAGCTGGGTCATGTGACAGCTGTATATTAATTAGGAAAAATATATATATATATATATCTTTTTTTTTTTTTTTTTTTAATTGAAATAATTGCAGTGCCATCATTCACATACATAAAGAGAATGGATAATGTAAATTAAACAGTCTGTGTTTAGTATCACTTTACTTGACCACTATCTCTGGGGAGGTAAAATACCATTTACTGGATGTGCAAGTACAGAATATGCAAGACTGGGTTAACCTAGTCCAAGTGCTTCTGTAGTATGGACTCCCCGGTAAACTGTGGTTCCATAACAGATTATAATAACTACAATTCTAAAAAAGTTTAATAGCTATAACTGATGGTAAAATGGAAATAAATGAAACTTGCTACAAAGAAGTAAATCCTACCTGTCTGAAAGGCCTCCAAAAATTGCTCCGCCCAGCAAAACGCCAACCATGTACACAGACTGTGCCATCTGCTTCATGGGACGCAGGTCACATATCAGATCCCACTGAAATGGAAAGGATACATTTAAATCCTCGTATAACTGCCAGTCAGAGCTAAATACATCTAAACAAAGTTAGTTAGATCTAAATAAATTTCAGCCTTTATAAACTTTGGTGTTCTGCTGAGCCCCTTACATTACACCCATCATTTTTGTAGGTTCCTGGATTTGTACTGAAGATTGCCTGGTACAAAAGTTCATCTCACTTGAAGGCAGGGGCGGACTGACCATTTGGAAACTCGGGCACTGCCCAAGGGCCCGGGGGTCAGTAGGGGGCCCCATGAGATGCCCTTGGTACCTTTTTCATAGGCTTTTTTGAGTTTGGGCAAGGGCACAGGGGCCCCATGATCCCCTATTGCTCGGGGGCCCCATGAGTTGTCAGTCCGCCCCTGCTTGAAGGACTTTTAATGGTTAAGAGTATCAAATACAGCTAATGCATTTCAGGGGAAAATGCCTCCCCCTGCCTCAGGGCTTGAGCAGTCAATGTTAACAAAATCATGACAGAATGCTCAAGTCGACTTGTGTTAAGGCTTAAAGACTAACATCTCCTAACAGCACTAAAGGCAGCCGGCAGGGGAACGCTATGGAATTTATTTTTATTTATTTTAAGTACTTATATAGCACCGTCACATTCACATCAGTCCCTAACCCTCAAGGGGCGTACAATCTAAGGTCCCTCCCTAACTCACATTGATACACATACTAGGGCCAATTAACCTACCGGCATGTCTTTGGAGTTCACATATTCACAGGATATGATATGATGGCTCGGATCATTTCACACTGTCAACAGATTAAGCTTTTCTATTTCAATGGTTTTTATTAATTTTTAAACAGTATAAAAGAGAGGCAATAAAACACGCCCACGTGTTTTAAAAAAAAAGAGGAAAAACGGTGCTCTAATGGCAACAGGGCAAAAGGTACGCCCACGCAGAGGCTATCAATGGCACATAAGTTACAAAACATTACTGTAACTGACTATAACAACTAAATGCAGCAGTCCAGTCACACCAAAACAGAGAGAGAATGAAAAAAGAAGAAAGAGGGGAAGAAAAGAAAGAGGAAAAAAATAAAAAAAAGGAGGGGCAAAGAGCAGGGGTCCAAGAGCGCCAATACCGAACGCCATTACATCCCCAGACTAGCCGGGGAGAGTGTGGGAAAGGCATATTGCAACCACGGCTCCCATAAGATTAAGCTTTTCAACAGGTAAATTTGTCCCACTACTGTGGTGACTAGACAGACACATTCTTTTTCCTAAACCCCATATATGTAAATGTATTTATTTCAGGTACTTATACAGCGCTGTCAATTTACGCAGCGCTTTACATATATGTTATACATTCACATCAGTCCCTAACCTTCAAGGGGTCTAAGGTCCCTATTCATATACTAGGGCCAATTTAGACAACATGCAATTAACTTACCAGCATGTCTTTGGAGTGTGGGAAGAAACCAGAGTACCCAGAGGAAACCCATGCAGGTACAGGGGGAAAAGGCAGACTCCAGGCAGGTGGTGCCATGGCTGGGATTTGAACCAACGACCCTAGTGCTGCCAGGCGGAAGTGCTAACCATTTACCCACTGTGCTGCCCATGCATATTTTGTGACAGTAGGTGATCAGAACTAGGACAATAGCTGACAAGGACCAACAGAGATCATACATTAACAGATATTTTAGGTGTACAAATTTACATGAAATAGGAAGGTTATGATGGCACCAGTGACTCACCTCTGTGATGATTGATGACCGGATAACACTTTTGTCATACACCCATCCATCAACACAAGACTCTGTTTCTATTCCTGTGACATTTGGCAGGGTGGCATTGGGATGAAGAAAGCTCCACTGGGGTTCAGTAAATCTCCTGCATTTCTCTGGCTGGCCCTTCTGATCATTGGGCACAGTTATCCTTAACAATTCATGGTAAGTTAAACTCTCAGTGCCATTTATTCCGGGTTTTGGTTCACAATGGTGAGCTGGGAAAGCTGCGGTGAAGTTCTGTAGAAAGTTGTGAGTTGCCACCATGAGGACGGGAAATGCCAGAAATATACTGTGCACAATCTGAAATGTACCAACCCCACCCAGTCGATCAAGAAGATCTGCAAATGCCATGTTGCCAAATCTATATTGTAAAGAGGAAATGCGAGAATAATAAGCAAGACAGTTTTCTTCAAATACTGAATGTATGTTATTGATTATAAAGTTTATATTTTTTTTTTAATTATCTTAAAAAACAAAGAAAACTAACGCTATACTTAACTGCTCTGTGCAATGGTTTTGCAGAAAGCATCCCTGATCCTCCTCTGCTGGGGTCTCCAGCCAGCACTCCTGGTTCCTCCCCCTCTCTAAGTGCCCCTGTAGCAAGCAGCTTGCTAAGGGGGCACACCTGTGGGCTCGCTCCCAAGCTCCACTGCCTGTGTATTGACACAGACAGTGCGGCTTGGACCCACCCCCAATCCCTCCTCACACCATTTGATTGACAGCAGCAGGAGCCAATGGCTCCTGCTGCTGCCTGAGTCCCTGTAAGAAGAGAAAGGGAGAAATAACTGCAGCACATCACTGGATCTCTGGCAGGATCATGTAAATGTAAAATAGTTAATGTTTTTTTTTTTTTGTATCCTAATGCATTCCCTGCATTAAAATAGAAAAAACACACCCCACTAAGTATTAACCCCACCACTACCACAGTAAACACATACCTGAGCCTGTCAACAATCCAGCCTTTAGACCTCAACCTCTATGCAGAGAAGATATCTAGCTATGTTCCAGATTTATAGACCCTTACCTATTTTATCTTTTTGTTATGGATAGAAAGGATAATGGTTTAAAACCCCCTATTCAGTTATTATTTTGCCAGCTGCAACCCTCTGGGGAGAACTAAATTCGCATTTTGTCCCATAGATACAAGAGAAAGTAAAAGGAATTTCTCCAAATATATAGAAATCCCCTTTTAGATAGTTAACACCAGAACAAGTGTCCCCATTGAAAGATTCTACTCTGTTCTACCGTCAACTCACTAAAGCAATAGATTTCATCAATGATACATGATGTGCACCCTGAATAGGTTACAGGTGATGCCACCTATGAGGATGCCTAATGCCATTTACTTCTTGCCACAATTCACTTTACAGTTAATGTACGGTCACCTGATGAGTTATCTGGTGTTTTGTTGAGAATTTGATGATGTCAGAATGGCTGGATCCCCTCCCGTCTTTGGGTTTCCAGTGGAGGACTGTGTGTGTCTGACGAAGTCTAACAATATCCTGATCCCTTATATACAGTTCACACCTTGGAGGCCAAGCCCACATAGGTTAATAACTCACCTTTGTTCTTGGATGTTTCATTACGTGGTTCAATAGTTTTAACCTTCAGATTTCGTCAGATTCTTTTTAATTCAGTTTCTTAGGAGATTCCTGCATAACTTTAGAACAGTATGTCTGCCAGAGATTAAAGGAATAAAAAAGGAGATTGGAAACTTTTTAACATCCAGACAGTTTAGGAGAAAGAAGAGAAGAAACTACATAAGTTAAGATACTTTAAACCATAAATGTAATATATTGCAGCTTACCAATCATTAGTTGTGGTGGCTGCATTAGCTTTCCTTTCTTGTTCTATCTGTTTTCACCTGGTGATCTGTCCAGTAACACACCTCCTATATTAGGGTGTCCCCACTCTGGATGAAGGAGCACAAGAGGCAACTTTGGACAGCAGCATTGTCAGTTTGGGGGGGGGGGGGGGCGGGGGAATACAATAGGAGGAAGATACATGAATATAGTGTGTATTTATTGATCCATAGGACACACAAAAACACCAGGACATGAATACAGGACCTGTTAACGCGTTTCACACAATCTCATGCTTAATCATAACCCAGTCTGGGGGATGGTAGTGTTAAATGTACTAGCAGATTTAAATACACTAAAAAACTGGAATGCCAGCTTACACTTTATAATCTCTTATAGCAATCAGTTTTTTTACTCTTAGGATATAGGTTTTACATGAATAAATAAAATCAGACCATTGTAAGCAGACCCGTCAGCATTAAATGGTTTGTCTCATCCCTGTAAACTGATACATCTGGAAGAGAGCTTGTTCTTTTGAAAAGCAACAGACTTACTGGCTGGATCACCAACAGAAAATAAAGGAAAGAAAGCATAAAAAAGAAAACAAATGCAGTCACCGCATCTACGAATTGGAAAGCTGCAATATAATAAATGTTTGCCTATGGGCTAAATACTGCTTCAAACCTTTTATCCCAAAAGAAAAAATAAAATGTTTCTTTGCCTAAAAAGTGTCAGCTGCAGTTAGGGCTCATGTACACGGGACGTTTGGAAAACTCTTCTGAACGATGGAAACTGACTGCCGGAAAACGTAGGTTAAAAAACAGTTTAGCTGCGTTTGCATACCGCGTTTATGCGTGGTTAGCCACATTTATGCGTTCAGAAATGTTTTTAAAAGATAACCTCAGGAGACCCTCCCAAATGCCCAGAATGCACTGAAAAATAGTAAATAATTAACTATTTCAGACATTTTGAGAGAAATAGAGAGAGCAGAAGCAGAGAGAGCAGTATGTGTTGAGAACTTGAGATGACCTGTCTTTTCTGGTTGTATTCACTATGGATCCCATCATGAGCATAATGCGGCACGTTCTACCATTTTTTCCTTCATGTGAAACCTGGAACTGACTGCAACTGCCTGTAAACGACTGTAAACGACGATGTGTACATGGACACATAAGAAAACATTAGGGAGTTCAGGGGCTGCTGAAAAAAACCGCTAAATTGCTCCTGAACCTCAGTTTATCAGCTGCAGTGTACGTGAGCCCTTAGGGTTTATGTACACTGCAGCTGATAAACTCACGTTCAGGAGCTTTTCTGCGTTTTTTTCCAGCTGCCCCTGAACTCTCCCTATTGTTTTCCTATGTGTTCATGCACACATCGTTTACAGTCGTTTACAGGCAGTTGAGTTTACATTCGTTTTTTTGAAAGCACCAAACTTGTGTTCTGGAGTAGATTTTATCAGCGTTTCAAAAGCCAAACGCTTGTAAACGCGGCTAACCGTGTTTATAAGCATTTGCGTTTAGAAGCGTTTTTTAACTATCCATATCTAGATGCTGTCCAGAGCCTTTTTTCATCATTAGAAATGCATGCAAAGTGTTTTCCATGTATTCAAATGGACCTAGCACTCCAGCGCAGTCATTTCCAGGTTTCGCGTGAAGGAAAAAAATGGTAGAACGTGCGCATTATGCTCATGATGGGATCCATAGTGAATACAACCAGAAAGATAAGTCATCTCAACACGTCTGAAATAGTCTGAATAGTCTCTCAAAATGTCTGAAATAGTTAATTTTTTACTGTTTTTCAGTGCATTCTGGGCATTTTGGAAGGTCTCCTGAGGTTATCTTTAAAAAACGCTTCTAAACGCAAACGCACATGAACGCGCATAAACGCGGCATGCAACCACGGCTAAACAGAGGTTTTTTTTAACCTACGTTTTACAGCAGTCAGTTTCCATCGTTCAGAAGTGTTTTCCAAACATCCCGAGCCTTAGAGATTGTTTGTCTTTAAGCCGTGTACCGGGGTGGGCTTCCCAGGATACAGTGAAGTCAAGAACCAGGAAAGCAACCCCAACACCAGCTTTTGCCAAAACAGAATTTTACTTAGATGTGGCAAATAAACACAACCACAAATGCTGGAAACATACAATAAACATACATACACCCAGCCCGAAGGCTGAGACCCTTGTGCTGCACAGCACGGCGCCTCCTGCTGGATGAAGGTAGAAGGTGTAGTAATTTACCTACTGGCGGGCACAACTAAGCTGCCACACCTTACCTGTTATTACCCTAAAAGAGCAGTAATCAATGGGTGTATGGTATGGGCTAGCCTGCGGTGCAGCACAACAGCTTACAATCTTACACAAATCTACAGTATTCCCTCTCCCATAACTGGTCCTGTAGCACGTGCCTGAGTATTCATTCTGAGCAAAACGCCAGTCTGGCGTTTGTTTGTAGGATTTTATCAGCTCTCCAATGTGAAATGTCACTTTAAGTTGTGGAGTCCTTCCAATAATCAGTAACAACACTTGTGGCCTGACACAAATAGAGACCCTAACTAAGTAACTATAGGCCTGGACTCAGTCTCAAGGCGCCAACACTGAAATGAGGTGCGTGCACGATCTTACCGACCGGGGTCTGCTTAGCATCCGCTGGTGACTCTAAACAGAACAAATGTCTCTCCAACAAGCATGCGGTATCGCAGTATATGCTGCTTAGTTCCTCTGCTCTCATCAGCATTCCTGGCAGCAATCTTCCTTTCTCTGAACAGGATCAGGGTCTTGGACACGATCAGCTTCACTTAGCTGCAGCTCTGGTTACTGAGGGATGCTCTTACACCTGGATGCCATCAGATTCTCTGCTCACATAGCTCCTTCAGTCACCATCCTCTAAACATGGCTTCTCTCTCTTCTTCCTGTTCTCTCTAAACTCTGTGTGAAAACCCCACCTCTTCATGAATATAGAAATATCTATGCAGTCTGAGGCTGTGTTAGAAAAAAAAAAACAGTGACATCTTGTGGCTAAACCGCAGAATGTCAGTCAAAACATTTAATTTACTCCACACAAACAGTGTTCAGACAATGAGAGCTGTTTCCCCATCTCACATGTCTGTAGTGCTACCTCCGCAGGAGCTGATTGGTAGATTGGGTTCTGTGTTCTTCTGCCTCAACGTCTGAGAACAACTTCAGTTCCACTGATACACCAGGTTAAACATCTGTATACTGCACTGCTATTGGAAGCACAAGTATAGATATCCTGCACACAACTAAGGTTCAGTATCAAAAAGCAAACACTAGACTGTTAGTGGTGGGGAACCCAATATATTGTCATGGGTCGAAGTAAATAGCAGTATGCATATAAATGAAAGGATCAAGTCAATCAACTAGATCATGATCACCAGTCTCACAGCAGGTAGAATGGAGTTCTGCAGCTAAATTAGAGTAAACCTAGTAATCAGCAATAAGTAATGGCATTAGAAAACAGTAACAGCAATGATAATCAGTACTGTGATAACTCCTCTGTAAAAAGCAGGTTCTAGCCACTTTACAGTGCACTC